CCGTGGTAGCGATAAGCGTGGTGGTGCCAACGGAGCCCGCATTCGCTTGGCTCCCCAGAAGGACTGGAAGGTCAACAACCCTGGCCAGCTTAAGGAGGTCCTCTCAGTCCTCGAGAAGGTCCAGCAGAAGTTCAACAGCTCCGCCTCTGGTGGCAAGAAGGTGTCTTTGGCCGACTTAATCGTCCTTGGTGGTGTTGCCGGTGTTGAGCAAGCCGCTAAGAACGCGGGACACAACATTACCGTTCCCTTCACCCCTGGCCGTGCCGACGCGTCACAGGAACAGACCGACGTTGAGTCTGTTGGCCACCTCGAGCCTATTGCCGATGGTTTCCGCAACTACGGCAAGTCAACACGCCGCGTCAAGACCGAGAACTTCTTGGTTGACCGCGCCAACCTCCTTACCCTGACTGCTCCTGAGCTCACCGCTCTGGTCGGAGGTCTCCGTGTCTTGAACACCAACTACGACGGCTCCAAGCACGGTGTCTTCACCAGCCGTCCTGGTGCTCTGACGAACGACTTCTTCGTCAACCTCCTGGACATGGGCACCGTCTGGAAGGCCACCAGCGACCCCGACGTCTTCGAGGGCAGCGATCGCAAGAGCGGCTCCAAGAAGTGGACTGCCAGCCGCGTCGACTTGGTCTTCGGCTCTCAGGCTGAGCTCCGTGCCGTGGCTGAGATCTACGGCCAGGCCGATGGTGGCCAGAAGTTCGTGCAGGACTTCGTCAAGGTTTGGGACAAGGTCATGAACCTGGACCGCTTCGACGTTAAGAAAGGCTCGAACCTTCCAAGCCGCCTCTAGATTGACGTGTCACGATAAATTAAAAAAGTTGCTTAAGTGCGGGGCATGATGACGGTAGGTATCTTGCTCTCTGTTATGAGATTCCCGATGTAGCCTATTAAGTTTGCAAATAGGGCAATTTACTTGTGTCTTGGGCTGTAATAAATCTTTACCATTCAACATCCTGGTCCTTTGAAATTTATATCTTGCGATGTACTCTCAACTGTGTGATAACTGCTACATGCTCGCACAATCCACTGGACATTGGAGTCATCACTAGAGCTCACAAAGTCATATAAATATGTAACCAAAAACACGTCTTTTAGTGAAACAGACCATACGCACCTACGCGAAGGAGTGTAAACGATCTACGATCCATGGGCTGATCCCATCGGACCCTGCTGTTAAGTAGAAATATCGATGGTTACCAAGAGGCATCGTTCCCTCGGAATTAACCACGAGGTCAAGAACGAAACTTACGCCGATGTCGCAACGAAATTGCGGGACGGGCTTCAGGGAGGTTAATGCTGAAAACTTCTTTGGCACAAGATGATTAGCGACACTCCAATGACATACGAGAAGCTACCGTTGGCAGACTTTTCCAACCTCAAATCTATCACCGCGATCGCTCACAACGCGGGACTCGTCCTGCCTGAATCTTACTATGAGTCCAAAAGCGTCATCTCTCTCATAGCCCAGATGATGCAGGGCTCGTACGTCCCTTGTGACGGCGTCGCCCGGTTGAATGAGATGCATTGGTAGCTGCAAAAGCGCGATGACTACTTTTGTTTCCGGACAGTGATGCCAAGATTAGAGGACAAGGGCAAGACTACGGGAGCAACCATTTACCTCTCTCCCTTTCCGACGACAATGTTCTCCTTGACAGTTCCTGATCATCACCTGTTCTCTCATCCGCTTTGCTCAAGCGCCCGCTTAAAAGTCCTGAACCCATCACCATCACTTCGTCGCCTTCCGCAAGCCCATCTTTGATAGTGATGTCCCAGACAAAGCACGGAAGCAGCTAGACAAGCGCAAATGACTGAGCGATGACATCATCCATTTCTTCGTGGGTGTTGTCGTTGCGTATGCCCAGAGCCCGAGATACTACGCTGGCGAAACACACCTTGTCAAACCTGATCACTCGTTGCCATCACTCCCAAGGCGTAAAGCCGCTGGCTGAGACGCCATGCTGCTGCCGCTCTTTTTCGACGGAGACCACTGGACGCTGGTCAAGATCCTGTTGAGCGACAAAACTGTATTTCTCGGCTGTGATCCACTTCTCAGCCAACAGTGTGGCCGGGAAGCTCGTCGCATTTGTCAGTGGGCCGAGGCCAACTTCCCACCGTTAAACTTTTCTCTTCCAGTAAGTCTAATTTCACCTTCATCTCACAGTTGGATACCCAGGTGGATAAAATCCCCGGAACGGGCGGGCCCGAACCTGTCACCAGGCCAGAACCGCAAATATATGATACCCAGGAACTCCACGATAGTCGCGCAAACTCTCAGGAACAGTGTCGCTTGCCATACAGTTGATTTCGACACCCACCCCCCACTGCCAGTTTGAATGCATACAAGCGTTTTAAACTACATGGAGGGTACCGCGGAGGTTCAGGCAAGCCTCAGTAACGCTCGTCGTCGCACTAATCTGTAAGAATGGCTGCCGAATATCTTAGACGACGCTGTGAAACACCCGGACCTACCAGCCGATCCAAACCTGACAGCCACACAGGTGAACATGCGGTATAATGCAACGAGTATGCTGGCGAGACTTGGTGGCGGGGAGGACCAAAATGTGTTGGTGTAGCGTCTAGACTCTGTTATAACTTACCTATGCCGAAGGAGCTCGGTCTGTGGTGAAGCAGACAAAGGCAAATGTTGCGTTAAAGGAGCAGTAGGTTAGTCTGAGTGGAGATGTCGGGACTATCTTGGAGGAAGCTCATGACCACCAACATTTTATTTTAGTATTTGTTGCCAATCACGCAGACATTTCTTCTGTTTCCGTAAGGAAATAGAGGGTTGCCGAATAACTGATCATCACATGCGCACAAGCGGCTATCACTCGTCAGACTACTGGCTTGTTCTTCCAGTACTCATTAGATTTTGGCTTAGGGTCATTTCATTTCACGAGCTTCGCCCTAGTCGTTATCAATACCTCAAACAAATGCGAACTCGTACATTCGCTGGTCCATTCTCGTCTCAGGACAGACAGACCACCCATAGCTATGCATGCTGCAACGTCCTGGTTGGTTAAAGCATATTCGGATCTAAATGCTCTTGAACCACGGAAGGATTCGTTGGTGAGCTTGGCGGCAAATGATCGATTGCCGTCATCCACATTGCAATGGGACTCTTGTCGCGCGATTGTCAAAAGGTAGGCTTCACACACAGTAAGTCTCCAATAAATGTATTTTGACTTCTCCCTGGGCGACTATTCCATTCGTCATCGCGCATCCCAAGCGTGTTCGCATGTGACTGAGTTTTTTCTTCGCAGAAAATAAAGAATACCAGGACGAATTTCTTCTAGACCTTTGAGAACCGTGATGGCCAATAACTAAGGCCTCATTAGGCAGTCAAATTAGCATTCAAGTCATCTTACATCTTGGCAAATGCAGCTAAGTCTTGGATCTGATGTCATATGTACTTACAAAAGTAAGTATCAATACGTTTCTGACCGTTTATTCGAAATCAATGTGGGGAAACATCAGTTGCCAAGCACGATATAATTGCGCTAAATACGTCACATTACAATTAGCTACAGTCTATGGCAACATGGTCAATGATGCGATCGACAGGCAGGGTACCGACTCAGCTCATTCACATATAAACACAAAGTTTTATCCGTCCTTGCTTTGTGGGAAGCAGCGACCTATTGAATATTTTGCCATGATGAAGTTTACCAGTCACCTCCTCACAGTGTCTTCTTCAATCTACTTTGGTTTCCCTGTTGTGGCCCAAACCAACAACGATAGCTCCGATAACCGATGCCCGCGAATTGTTGAAGATCTAAACGAGGGCGATGGTGCGTTCAACGCTACTGGCACAACAATCCTCTCCCTTCCTGAGCAAGACGATTGGCACTTATCGATGACATTTCACTTTCGCCTTGCCAGAAACACGACTGCCGTTAAGGATGTCTCCTCTTGGGGCGACCATGCCGCATTTCTTAGTGTGCCGGAATCACTTCTTAAAACGACAAGCAGCCAAGAGATTGAACTTTGCTACTACGAGATGGACGCTTTGAATGCGACTTCAGATTCAACTTCAGCAGAAAGTAACGACATTGACGCGAGCTGCGATGGGATATTGAGTGAGGAGTGTCAGAAAGCGTTAAGAGACGCACCACGGCCACGTGACGGGGACTGCCCCAACCTCGATGTCGAGGAAGCCTGCGACCGGCCGATACGGCTATGGACAAGTATGTCTTTTTGTTGACTAACCACGATCCGGCATGAGTAACTCAAGAGTACTAACATCGCACGGCAGGCAAACCATTCAATCTCTCCCAGCAAGACTGCACATTGAATGGCCTGCCAGGAGTAGATCTCCCGGGGGACTATCAGACCCAGATGGTAATGTGGCAAGGGAAGTCTCTTCCTGTTGCAGAGGAAGCTTTCCTTGATTCATACGACTTGCTTGTCCGACAACCAGTTCCCATCGTTATCACCGCTCGGATTCCAGGAGAAAATCAATATAGCGCCGCAGAGATTGCCTGCCTAGCTACCAAGGACATCTCCGAAGGTAGCCGCGTTCCGCAGAGCGAGTTTCCACCGAGCAGCGCGACTTATCCAGATGTTAAAAGAGCATTGATTTATGTGGTAGTCCTGTCGTGTTTGACCTGTTATATCTTGGCGTTGTAGTCGTCGAGAGGGCATAAGCATTAAGTTTTACTTTCAGTCTTCATAAGGCGGTGCGTGCAATAGATATCCCACTAAGTGCGGAATTGATCAGCGGAACCCCGATACGGTCGCGGTGGAGTGCCGGAGTACTGTATTGCGGCTTGGCTTGGAGCCCATGTAGAAGAGCTCCAACAAACGCACTACTTATGGATACGCGAGCAACAAACTGCAACCGAATTTCGCACTTAAAGCCTCACGGCCCCAATTGCCAAATATCTTGAGGCCAGCCGACCAACAAGCAGGCAAACAACGCCAATCATTCCATTCTCGTTTCATCCGCCATCTCGTGTGCTTGCCTCTCCTCTTCGTTTGTCGAATCACCTGCTATGGCGGCCCCTCGATACGGCTTCGGTTCGTCTACGAGGCATGCATCTGTCATCGACTTCATCGCCACCTCCCCCTTCGAAATATGCGCCCTTGTCTTCGCTCAACTCGATAACTGCCATCTCAAAGCTCTACGGTTAACTTGCAAAAAGCTCGCCCACCTCGTTAGTCCCCATCTCCGTTTCAACCGCGTCTTCATATCCGCTAGTCTCCTGGATGTGCAAGTATTTCGTGCTATCGCAGAACACGATATCTTCCGCCGCAATGTCCGGGAGATCGTCTGGGACGATGCTCGTTATGAGAAGACACCGCCCGATTTCGTGACGTTCGAGGGCGAGTACGACGACGAATGCGTGTACGCGGATGAATACCCAGACGACCTGGAAGAAGAAGTTGATAACGATGGACCAAAAAAAATCCCACGTAGTGTTCCGATCTGGTTCTTTATACGTTGCAAAGAGAACATTGAGTACCTAGAGGAAAGGCGAGATAACGACGTCAAAACCTTACCGCAGCACGTTGAGACCTTTCAGCAGCTTGACGCCCTGCTACCTCTTGACGTCGCCTACGCCTACTACCAAGAGCTACTTAAGAAACAAGAACAAGTACTTTCTACATCGGCTGATATAGCTGCTTTGGAATGGGCGCTTGAGAAAGATAGATTCCCCTTTCTAAATAGGATCACTCTAACGCCCGCCGCGCACGGTATTCTATTTAAGCCGCTATACCCGACCCCCGCTATCCGCGCTCTTCCGTACGGCTTCAATTACCCGCTCCCTCGCAGCTGGCCAGCTTCTAAGGACGAGGAAGGAGCCGGCTACGAGACGTGGGAGCGCGAGGACGCGAAGGATAAATGGCGCGGATTCCGCCATGTCGTCCGCATCGTCGCCCAGCAGCGGAGCGCGACCTCGAAGATCACGAAGCTGATTTTCGACGGCAATCAAATCCACTCGGGGCTCACGTGCGGCATCCTCCATGCACCGGAGCCATGCGTTGAGTACGACCACCTCGCCGCCGTGATCAAGAAGCCAGGCTTCACCACGCTCAGTCTCAACCTCATGATCTGCGGAGCGGAGAACAACAACTACCTGGCCTTCCGTAATGGACGCCTGAAGCAGATGTTAGAGGCCGACTTACAACGCTTCACACTAGAGACTATGAGGACGGGAGCCTCGGACAGGAGCCACAGCCTCCAAACGCTACGAGGGATCACTTTATCCCCCTGCGATCAATATTTCCTGTAGAGGCATGGAAGAACCTAGCGCACTTAGGGCTGTCGCGCTTCCTTGTCAAGCAGCAAGACCTACTCGACTTTCTCGCCGTACTACCGCAAACCCTGCACTCTGTAGAACTCAGCTTTCTGATGTTCATGGGGAATAATGGTGACTACAGAGAGCTGCTCTTTCATATCCGCGATGATCTGGGCTGGCAGGGGCGTGCTATAAGACCTCGGTTGCTCATTCGAGATTGGATAGATCGTATTCTGGGAGGGCGCGCAATCTGGCTAGAGAATGAGTTACAGGAGTTTCTTTACGACGAAGGCGGCAACCCGTACGTTCGACGGCAAGCTGTGATAACGGGAGGCCGGTCGGGCGAGGGTCCGGCGAAGCCCATTGTGCAAGATGGTTTTGGAATGCAGAGGGACGACTTCGAGCCTAGGTTTGAGCGTCCCTTTGTGTCAGAAAGACAACTCGTTCGGTCGGGCATTCTCGAGAATCGGTTTGGGGAGTACTTAGACTTGTTTCCTTGAGTGTGTTGAATCAACAAAATGCGATGGCCTGTATTCTTTAATGCATCAAGAATTCTATTTTGATCCAAACGTTCTCATGAGATGTACAGCGTAATTCAGATGCAGCGTTGCTGACGGGACTCTCTAGTTTCCCTCCACCTCTGATAAACTACAGAAACTCGTGGCAGCCGCACAGAAAAGAAGGGTTGAGGGAGTGAATCATTTTTTAACATAGTAATCCAGACTTGAGCCACTCCAACACAATCATACACATTTGCCTGGAGCCCATAACATTCAGTCTTGACAGCAGGATTCCTTGTGTAGAGCAATTTCCCGGGCATCAGAAATCGCCCAGCACCCGCCGCCCGGCTGAAGGAGGTAAAAGTTCACGCATTTCGTAATTATGACCTCTTTCACGGGGATCTGCGACCGAATCAATGAAGAAGAGCAACTTTTCCTAGTGTTCCTCTTCTGATGGGGAACTAAAATCCAACCTGGCCAGTCACGTATGAATTTTGGCCAAGCGCCGCGGCTGCAATACGTGCATCTTTTCGACGTTCAAGGCAAGCATCGCATTAAATTAGGGTGTTAATCATCACATGAGTGATTCTGAGATCAAATGATAAATGTATTCTGTCTGGGTTACTAAGTTTTATCTTCAGTGCTTTTCGGCGCAAGATTAGGCGTTCTGCACCACCAGTCGCGTCGAAGACGTAGCTGGACCCGGCTTGAATTATGGCAAACATGATAGAGAACGCGTCTTTCGGAAAGATTCACGTGAGAGAAAGGGTAAATCAATCCGCCATTGAAGATTCTTGATGGGCCAGCCAGCCTTTTATTCGAACTTTTAATGCGTTAAAGTGAGCCAAAACTGTCGAAGCAAGATTGCGTCTATCATCATTGTGGGGTTGCAGCACATCATCCCGCGATCGCCCTGTGACCGTCTTCGCTACTCGATGTCAACGACCCATCGTAGCATTGGATGTGATTACGTTGGCTCTACTTACCGATATCGCATGCTGTTATCGCCGTTTCTTCACTTCCACCCTGGCCACTTCTTCCTTCGCGTCTTGTCCCTCCACTTTTCACCAGTTCGGTCCCCAACTTCACAAGCTTGTGGTGCATCAGAAAGATTGCAATTCTCTTGGGTTCTATTGCGCAATGGCTCATCTGAAATTTTGAAGACAATAAGACTGGCCCAAACGGGTCCAAAAATGAAAGATATATCACAAGCACGAGCCTCCGCTTACTTTTGACTTGGTCAACCAAGTGATTTCGAGTACTTCACCCAAAGCTGTCAGACCATCATGGCATCGGCTTTGAAAGAGTCCGTCCCGCGGGACAAATGGTGGAAAATCAAATGGTTTTCTGACGACGACACCCCGGAGGAGCGCCGTCTCATCACTAAAATCGACATGTTCCTGGTCCCGTACTCTGTCCTAGGGTATTGGGTCAAGTACATCGACCAGTCTAACTTGAATAATGCCTATGTGGCTGGCATGAAAGAAGACCTTGGGTTCTACGGGAATGAGCTCGTACAACTTCAAACCATTTTTACCCTTGGCTCAGTGCTTGGACAAATCCCCTTTTTGTAAGCCCTTCTGAGGAGTTGAATATTCTGGTACCAGCGCTGATAGAGCCTGCAGATTCATCATGACATATGTTCCTATACAGTATCTGGTGCCGATCTGCGACGTCCTGTGGGGAGTGTTCACTCTTCTTCAGTATCGCGTCAACTCCTACGCAGAGTTGGCGGCGTATCGTTTCATGGTAGGCTGGTTTGAAGCCGCCTTCTTCCCCGCTATGCACTACGTTTTCGGTATGTCTGGGCTGTTCATCGACCGTATAGCTGCTCATTTAAAATCAGGTTCTTGGTATAGAGGCCACGAGATTGCTCGCCGTGGTGGCCATTTTCTACACAGGCTTAGCTGCTGGCACTCTGACTGCAGGCTTGATCCAAGCGGGCGCATCAACTTCTTTGGAGGGAGTTCGCGGTGAGACCACGTTTAAAAAACTTAGAACCGCTTAAATCAGGTTATTAACTTCGGTATACAGGCATGGAAGGATGGCGCTGGATGTACATCATCTGTGCCTTGATCACAATTCCTGTAGGCATCTTGGGCTACTTCGTCATCCCAGGAACAGTCGATCAGCCCAATAAATGGTGCGTCAACGAAAATGATCTTCGAGTTGCTCGAGAGCGCCTCGAGAAGCACGGGCATGTGCTACACGGCAAGATGAAATTTGGTCATATCAAGCGCACCATTTTGGGGTTCCGTTTCTGGCTGGTTATCACGACAGACGTTCTTTTCTGGAATGCCGGTATCCACAAGAACACCGGATCTTATCTCCTCTGGATCAAAAGTCTCGGTAGATACAGTGCAGCAAAGGTCAACGAGCTCGGCACAATTTCGCCGGCGTTGGGTATTGCCTACACGCTTATCGCCTGTTTCGCTTCGGACCTCTTCCTCGGACCAGCATGGGCCATCACTATCTGCTCCTTTTTGAACGCTGTGGGACTAGTCTTGTTGACTATATGGACAGTTCCTGAAGCAGGCTTGTGGTTTGGGTTCGCAACTATGTATTGGTCTAACGCCCTGTCGTCCGTCTTCCACGGGTGGGTCAACAATTTACTGCGAGACAGTCCCGAGGAGCGAAGCTTCACCTTGGTGCTCATCAATCTGTTGTCTCAGAGTTCAACGGCATGGACGCCCTTGCTAACATTTCCGACGGTCGAGTCTCCAAGATACAGAAAGGGTTTCTCTTTTTGCCTTGGGTGCGCTGTCGCGCTGATCTTATTCACGCGGATTATGCACTATTACCTGAAGAGAGATAAGAGACAAGACACCAGTCCATCTGATGAGGAGACAGATGGGCAACAAGAAACTGAATTGGTCTCTTCGGCCAAGGAAGGGACCCAGCAGTCTGGTATACCTGTGGCTGAGAAAGGTCCTGGACGCACGTCTATCAGCCACGAAACCTCTAAGATAGGGGGTAGATAGTGACGTAGAAGTATTTGGCCTTTTTAATGGTGCTTGCAGGAGCTATGGTCAAGGAAGAAACCCACGCGATGAGAAATGGTTTCTCACATAGAAACGGAACACTGGTGGGTGGGCATCATATTACCTAAACAGAATTTGCTCACACTGTCATTCACTAAATTGATAATACTTTAAAATACGTTTGAAGTATAGTGTTCCTGGTAGCCCGTGGCGGGGACATAAATTCTGAAGTTTGACTTGTCTGAGGTCTAAACACTAAATGACCGAATCCCTCAACTCCGCAATCATTCCGCCCACTGATAAATTTGCCTCTGCATGTGGTCTGAATGACCCCAGCATCTCACATCACGCCAGATTCGTGGAATTGAAAGCGTTGTTATGCTTGAGCATTAAGCTTTTACACGAAGATCCACCGATCATGGATCTGAAGATCTATCGGGGTGATGAGCGGAGTTCTGCGGACCTGTGCGGAAATGAGAGAGTCTACTACTTGTGGTTGCGTACCTTAGGTTCGGATGAGCTCGCGTGAGCATCTACATCTATCCCACGATCTTGGAGATTGGCGTGGTACTTGCGGGGCTTCTTTACATGGAACCCCTGAAAGAGTGACGGAGCGATGGTAATAGATCTTTGACACTGCGACGACCCAGTACCACAATCGGGTACGGAAGCACAGCGGTCTCTTCGCAGATCGCCAACACGCGTGCGTCTAGAGCGCGACTGACCAGTTCGAGCGGCGTTTTGAGTTCAAACCATGCGAGTGGATTTCAGTACTTAAGATCAGCAAAAGACTTTGGTATTTCTCCGAGTACAAAATTCGCTATTAGCTAGGAAACAAATGTCGATCGATATTCGTATGAGCTGTTCAGATACAACCCCGCATGCCGTGTACTGCAGTCCAACGTATGTAGAAAAGAAGCCATGCCGGGCTCACGCTGAAAGGTCCGTATTGCAGAGTCCCAGCGGCTCTGTGGCAAATTCATGGCCCTCCCACATGAACACTCCCCAGCCTTCCCAGCCGGTGACGACCTTATCGTTTGGCAAAGGGTCGCAGCTCCCCGGATTAATACCTATGCGGAACTGGAAGGGCTGAGGGTCGCTACCAAAGGTGATGTTCGTTAATGCTTGAAGGTTGCCGTTTTCGTCATTGAAGGTTGCAGAGGAGCACTTCGTTCCGGGCTGAAAGTTGCCAGAGAGACCACATCGAACGATCTGTGCAGGCTCGTCCCATGTGAGCCATAGCGTATCATAGTTGTAGTTCCTATTGCCGTATCCGGTGTCTTGCAAGCTGTTTCCCCAGCTGTCTCTCCAGCAGCAGTTACCAGCCATCGCATGGACGACGAAGAGGCCCATTAGGAGGAGTCGGGGAAGTGGTGATGTCGGCATCGTAAGAAGGCGCTGGAAATAACGGTTGCGAGAGTTAAATTGCCGTTTTTCTTTTGAATTCGTTATGGTTGATCGATCGTACTCAGTTGTATGTCAATTGGATCAGAAAGTGACTGAGAAAGGAACGTCGGACAGAGGAACGTCAGCAAAACCTGTTGCGTTAAATAAAATGCGTCGCAAGAGGCGGCCAAGAGTTCAAGAGCCATGATAAAATAGACTCAGCAGTCAGGAGTTAGTCCTCATCTACCTTAATCGGACATAATATAGAGGCTGACAGGTGCCCTGACTCACGCGCAACGCACCTCATTCTAGGCGGACATAAAGACCGAGACGCTGACTTGCGCCCTGACTCACACGCAACATTCACTATGCGAATAATACCACCACCTGAGATGAACACTATCATCATTCGCTATATGCCATGCTGTTATTGTTAAAGATGCCTAACGACCAACCAACGAGAAGCTCCCACCGGCAACCCCGAAGTTTCTACAGGGATCATCCTTCAAGGGGAGCTTAAAGGGAACGGAGTGAAACCGAAGATAGGGCTTAGGCACACCCAACAAATGTTGCCATATCTACAGCAACTGTAAGTAAACCTGGTAGAGTGCTAGAAATGTGACCAAGGTAGAATGGTAACTAATTAGGGAACAAGGCGCGAATGTGATGAAGTCATGTCGATATAGCTCAGATTCGGGACGCATCCGCCCAATACATTCACATCTGGGGGCTGCTAAGTCATGCACACAAAGCAACGAGTTGAACGAGATGGTATGTCCATTCTTACTGCAGCAGCAGCCACTGCACATTGGGCGATGATGGACTTGCACAGTCCAGGGCTGATCCTTCTCTGTGAACCCCATCCCCACAACCATAGCCACCACGCTGAGGGTTCGTGCGATCATCTCCCGACTCGGTCTCCCTGTCTCTGACAAGTAACACTCGTCTAAGCGGCAACGCATATACAACCCCAAATGTCTACCCTAGGGATTCCCCCGCTCGCTTCGCTCGCAAAGTTTGTCTGCCTATCGCCTGCGATGGACCGTCGTATTTCCAGCCCTACATCAGTCAAGTGTCCACAACCCCGTTCCATTCGAGTAGTTTACGAATTTGAGGCTTCATTGTTTTCTGCGGAAGAAGGTAATGCATGGCATTTCATCCTTTAACAAAGTCGAGACAAGTGGCTAGTCGTCTTGTTCTGAGCTCACAACCGGGAGCGAGACCGAGTTCCAACATGCATAACCTTAGTAGTAGTTTCAACTACATAAACATGGTTCTGGGCCTCATTTAAACTTGTCTTATGAGTGATTGATAGTCAGAGGTGAGCTCCTGACGCGTAGACGGCCAGCGCCGAAACGGTATTCCCGGAGCGGCAAGAACCAGACCCGGCATCTCCGCAGGAACGAATAGCAAGGATAGAGTCACGGATCCGTGCACACTTGTGATCAAAAGAGATCTCCTCAAATTCAGCTAATGTCAACCCACAGAAAGACTGATTACAGCCCGCCATTTGTCCAACTAGGTACTAGTCAGCTGCCAGTCGTCACACGACACACCAGAGTTGCACAGAGTTGTTGTGCACCTCCACCCGAACTGTTGGTCGGAGCGCAAGTGCGATGCAGCGTCGAGGGCGATATCAGTGACGAGTCGCACGATTGGGCCCACCGAGCAGGCTTAAGCTCTCGCTGCTCTTTAAGTAGAGGGGCAAGGCCACCAATAGAACGGCAGTTATCGTGTGTTTTCACATGGTTCGTATCTGAATGCTGTGTTTTCTCAGGCTAGACATGTGGGTCTCATTTGACTTCCTTGTACAAGCTGATACCACACTCTGCCTGGACTGCTTATATTCACACACACACACACACACACACACGCACACACGTCCTAAACAAAGCTGGCCCTTCAGTGTATATGAAATGACGCGGTACTAACGCAGGGGAATACTCGGAAACTGATGGTCACGAGTTGTTTTCACTCGCGACCTGCCGAACCATTATCAAAGATTAGGAGCAAATACAACACCGACAGCCTCAATAAGGAGCTTCCTATACCTCCTTGAGGCGGCGGGTGATCTGGCTACACCCGAGCGACATAATGCCATCATAGAGATAAATTTTCTTTTAACTGAACAGGGATTCTCGGCAAGAATCATATGAAAGGTTTGGTCATCTACCTATCCTGATAACGAGCGATGAAGTCCTTAATCTGCTCCGTATCTGCTTGATAACCAACACCCATCAATGGTTCTCCGCCCATAGTATGATGCGTGTATCCGTATCTGATACGCTGTGATCTCAGCTCCTTTGTGAGCTCCGTGCCATCCATCCAGCTGGTATTCATGAGCAAGTCCATAAACTTCGAGTCACGTACCAAGGTGGAGACGTATCCCAGAACCTCAGGGCCATGCGCCAAGTGTGTGAATACGACGCTTAAAATGCCACACGCGAGAAGAATGAGACACGAAACAAGGCAAAACCCAACCCACAAGGCCGAAACTTGGAACACTTCGACTAGATTACTGACTTCTGACGAGATCGTGATGTTCGGTTCAAAGCTTGCCGTCTGACCCAGAGTACTGCTAGTAATCTGGAGCTCTTGTTGACTGAGCATCAGATACGTGTTGAGAAGTTGGTTTAGGCGGATCCCGATCTTATCGTCAGGGAGATCATCAAGGCTGACGTCCGGCGACGAGCTAAGCTCTTTAAATGTCGGATCCTTCAGGTACTGGATTGAAAAGTCGGGAAACCCCCCAAGGGGCCGGCCTGTTGCTGCTAGAGGGAATTCTTTCGAAATGTAATAGAAGAGATGTGGCAGAGAGAGAATCGAGATGGCCTCAGGAGCGTGCGGCTGCTGGGATGGCCGCTGTGCAACTACCGCGCAGGTGTGACGGCCAGAGGTGGGCACGTATGTGCAATTCACACGAGACTCCACGTACCTCTGTGTAACACCGCACACAGCTTCGAGTTTAGTTTCAGGCGTTCTAGTAGGCTTGATGCTAGGGATGATGATCTGCAGCAGCAAGTTCGCCTCGCCAGCCTCGATGCCCGTCTCATTCATAAACAGTCTCAACCCGTCTCTGACGTCTGCTTGGACGTCGGTGGTATTGAGCTTTTCAGCCAAACGAGCATTTTGAACTTCCTGATCTGCCCAAAATGGGTCGACAAATCGGTCAAGCGCAATAGCCCAAGTCGTTAGGTTTTGTGTGTTGTTGACGTGATTCTTGACCCCGCGCCATGTCCCATTGGGGGCCTTCAGAATGTTGTCACTATATGTATGACTGTTGGCCCAAAATCCGCTCGTAATGTTCGTCATGTAATCCTGCGGAAAGCTGATTGGAAACTTCGTGATGTTGTTGCAATCGAGGTGGACGTAGCTACTCTCGACCGCGAATGTGACATTCCCAACGGTTGAGTATTGGAGAGGAATTCCAGCTAAAGACGAGTATTGAATCTGTTGAGAATTGTGGGAAATCTCTGTCCAGTTGTTGGGCGCGTTTTGGTCCAGGAAGGGGATCTTGACGTTTCCCCAATGGTCCATCGTATCGACCTGAATGGAGTCGGGCTGGGCAACGAATGAGGCATACACTGTTGCCAAGTACCCAAG